TATGGAATCGCGGTGTCCGTGAAGACAACACGCGCGGGATGACTTTGAGTTACGGAGTCTACCATAATTACACTGCATCGCGCTTCGCGGTACTCTCACATGCCCAAAGCTGGGGGAGATTGGCATCGAAGATCTCTCCCTGGGAGGGCTGCATCATCGCAAATGTATCGGCGCGACGGCGCGGCTGTTCTCCGAGAGGAGAAGGATGGTGGGGAATATTCAGGGAAATCAAAGGTGGAAACAAGGACAAGACAGACCTGCAGACACGGATGGCAGATGGGACGAATGGGAGTTTGGGGTGGATTGACAAGACCACTCTCTCACATCAGTTTTTTTCTTCTTTTGATTGTTTTATATTAAAAGACGTCCGAGTACAACATTAAGTCGTGCCTGTCTCGCCCGACACATGGCCGAGCAGTCGACCTTGTAAGGCAGCCTGAATTTGGGCAGGGCGAGGACGAATGCGGTAACCCGAGGATAAAGAAAAATAAATCAAAACAACTTTAATAATGCAAACAGTGAAAAAAGGGCGGGAAAGATATTTTGTACTGACGACTATGGGTGCCAACGACGTACGGCCTGGAGTTTAGTGTTGTGTATCTGTGTGCCGTTGAACATAACGACTCTGAATTAGGCAATCTGTCTGATAATGTGTGCCCATACAGACGGCCGGCCACACTCGGCCTGTAGCCCTGTGAGGAAGGGAAATCACCCGGCCGGCCGTGTTATTTATTGTTGTCTGCAGCTGTAAGGGGGTCGACCCTACATGTCCTGATGTCTTGAAAACAGGTTGTCTTGTGCGGCGTGCGTGCGTGACAACCTCTGTGTTTTCCATACGTGCCACCTGCATGTGCCTCCCGTGCGCAAGTAAAGAAGACAAACCAAGGAAAAGAAAAAGAAAGAAAGACAAAGGTCGCCTTCCTCCACTGAGTACGGAAATACGGAAATGGTGTACAGATTGCGGACTGGCTGGTTGAAATTTCTCCTAATTACAGTACCAATGAAGAACTAGGATAACACCGGTTGTATTGTGTCTCTGTGTTCGGTTACGGACTATTCATTGACGTTACAACAAAACTGTGTTATTTTCCTTTGATTGCTCTTTCCGTCATTGGCCCCATCTTCGGCAGACGCCGCCGGGCCTTGTTGTCTCCTTCCTACCCATGCGTTTTCTGTAAGATCTCGCTACGATTACCCGTTTCGCTCTTTCCTTGCCGATTTCCATGGTTCTATTGGCGACTTCCATTTCGGGCTTCTTTCCTACTTCCTTCTTTTCCTTCTTTCCTTGCGCCTCCTTTCCTTGTTTCCTTCTATTGCTCTCCCGCGCTTTAATAAGGAAGTTTCGTGTCTGGTATCCAAAATAGAGCGGCCACTGGCGAGTCTGCCCGAGAACAGCGCCGGATATTAAATCAATTAGGAGCAAAATAGAACAGAAAAAAGGACAACGCCAGATACCCCAGACATAGAAGAGGAGAACATGGCGAGACGAAGGAAGAAACGGGACATGCCACCAAGTATGCTCATGCTCAAAGGCGGACACGGAGCCCATCTGCACTCCAGGTTCCGCAGGTGTACGGCGCGCAACGTACAGAAGAACCCAAAATTGCAATTACCAAAGGCCGTGCCGGGGTCGACTCTAGCGACGGACGTAAGATTGTGCGATGCACAATGCACGCTGCACGACGCACGATACACAATCCACGATACACGATCCACGATACACGATACACGACCAAAGCGAGACGATGGCGAGCACGTAAAACACAGTAAGACTGATGGAGACCTAACAACGACCATGTCATACGGAGCCCGACACACGTAGAGCCGAGAACCATCTCATTGTCATGCGGATTGACAGCGGCAGTTTAGGGAAGAAACGAGATTCAGCCCTCTCCCACGACTCGCACAACACAACGCGAACGATGGAAAACTGGATTTTTCTTTTCATCTGTCGTACGGATCGATTGATCAAAGTACGTAAGAGAGCAGCTTGGCAGGAGAGCAAGAAGCACGAAAGTCCACAAGCTGGAAATCGTACGTAATAAAACGCCAGTGCGTTTGACGATTCCCAGAGCCAGGGCCGGGCCCCTCTTTCCATTTCAATGCCCTGGAGCCAGGCTCGAGGCCAGGAGCTCTTTTGTGGCGAAGCCAGTCTTAGCGCAGCGACTAAAACTTGACAGGGCCGGCCGGCATGGTCTCGTAAGGCAAGAACGATCAGCTGGGACAGAGGAAATAAGGATGTGTGGTTTGAGAGGAGATGGAAAGAAACGAAAGAGAAGGAACCAAGGACGACAAGCAAACGCCGAAGGCAGGAACTTGCCGACCATATCGGGAAACAAAAAAACATAAAAAATAACATAAAAATAAATAGCCCGTCTCCTAGACAAGAACAATCTACTGCGTACATTACAGTGTCAACGACGGTGAGACGATAGTGTGTTCTACAAGCGACACAAGACAGCAAGTAACACGTCGTAGGGCGAATCATAAACCGAAGAAACGGCTGGGAACGTGTAGGCCGCGTGCCACGACCGTTGTGTTCATCCACTGCACAACTGGCGAATATGTAAGATACGGAATGTGTGTAAGCAGACTGGCAAATGTAGCAATATCCTAGGGACACTGTTACCGCCGTGTTGTAATCTGGAACAAATGGAACAGAAATTGGGTGGAACGTTGATACGATGGTTGATATGCCCACGAATAAACACAAACACGCAGACTCACACAAACTCACAGAAACGCACATGAAAACAACAAATGACAGCAGGGTCGTCGAACGCGGCACATCCACAACAGCACTGTCGTACCGCAGGGCTCGATGGCATCCTGCCAGGCGCAAAATGCATCTCTCTTTGGGCTACGGCCCGTTGGAGGGGGTGGGAACGGATCCTCTATTTTTTTATTTGTCTCCTACGCCGCCATATGGACATCCCGTTTTGATGTCGCTGCCCACGAGCGCAACTGGCCGAAGGGGCTTGGGGTCCAGGGGTGGTGGTGGGAAAGGAAGGAGGAAGGAGGGATTAAAGACGGAGGGACTTATTGTTTTTTTCTTGAGAGAGGGACACCCAAACAGAAACAACCTCGACTAATCATATTTTTGTCATTGTGTCTGGGGTCGTATTGGGGCGCTCAATGGGGCCTGCCTTGCAGGTCGAACAGGATTTGACTAAGTAGGGCCTGGCAAGGCCGAGGCGAACGGGGGAGGGGAGAAAAGCCAACCAAAGTGACCCAGGTCCAGGGGCCGCCAATGGGCAAAAACATTTGGGCATAGCGCCAATAGCGGAACTCGGCCGTTAGAAAAGGCAACAAAATAAAAGATCCCCGCCGGCAGGACGCCAGGGCTGGGTGCGATGCCTTAACCCCCCTCGCCCCCCTTTACGAACTCCATGACGACCATTTTCAATGCCACCCTGAAAGCCCACTAAAAACCACCACAAGTGCCCGCCAAAACCAGTTGGCGGCCAAATCTGCCAGCAGAAGACGATCCGCCGAGGTCCAAATGCAGCGGCCTTTTTCCACCCCCTCCCCGAGTGTCTTTCCGCACTCTCTCACTTCCAGCATGGCGTCGTGTTTTCCCGTTCCGCACCTGCGGCAGCATGGGAAGCTCACTCTCACGCCGTCCGCCGACTAACCTAACGTCGTACTGAAGTATACATCGTATGTCTGTCAGGTTGGGCAAGGACAAACGAAGCCAGTGTGAGGCGGTCGTCCATGTCATACAGACATATGCCCCTATGCCGTTATACTGCTGTATTGCGTAGGTGTGCACGGCTGTTCGAAGAGCTCCGTCGTTTCGGCTTTCTGAATTGCATTCCCGTTTTGGGCGATTTCATTCGACTTTGAAAGCCTCGTTATCGTCAAAGTGGGATACGCACCACAACACGTCGGCCCCACTGTTCCTGGGGGGGGTTACGGACACGCCCAAGCCCCACTTGCCCTCTGAAAACGACCTGAAATCAAAGCGCAAACTGCCCCTTCACCACTCTCTCAGTGACCAGCAAGGCGTCAGACGCCCCTACAGCCGACCGAGTAATTACAGAGTAAATCAACTGAGAGGGTTCGCTGCCCTTTGTCCTCCACTATCTACTGTCGTTAACAGACCCCCAGACTACATGTACTCACTCCCCCACACCCTGCCAACAGCCCTTTCGCTCTTTTCGGTTCCCTGCCCTAACGGTCTAGCGTATGCATGGGACCTTCCACGCTGTCCCTTTTTGGGTGCCCGCAGAGAACTGCCAGTCAATAAATTACCACGCTTCTGGAGCGGCACCGTCTGCCCACTCATTCCTGTGTAGGCCGGCCCTCTTGTGTGCTCCGGAGTTTATTCTTATTCTGCCCATTCCGTTTTCCCTTCCCCTTTCTTTTGGGTCGTTTTAATTTTGTTCCTTCCTCGCTGGGCTGAAATGCCTTGTGGCTGCAGGAAGACAAACAAAACAGAAGGAGGGGAGGGGGTGTACGTGGACCAAGGGCAGGCGCATTTTCATTTTCAACATGCACCGTCAGTACACAAATCATTCGTCAGAACAGACACTGAAAGAGGAAAGGACGAATTCCTCTTGCATGTGCGTGCCCGCCACTTGCCCTCTGTTGTTTACTACGTTTGCCAGTCGTTCTTCCTCTTTGCGGATCGTTTGGATCAACGACAGGTACACCGATCGTGCCTGCCGTGACGTACATTAAACAAGCTCCTTTTCTTCGTCTTCATCTTCATAGAACATCATCCTCCCAAGGACGGATCACCGCATCGTCTCGAGGCCAACAACAGCTGTGGCATGGCGAGGACACACCTTTTCTGGGCGTCCACACGCCTTCAATCCATTTGATGCACGGGGCTGTAAATTGTAATCTGGCTGGTATTGCACGGCTTGCCCTGCATCGCCTCACCTGCTCACTCACCTGTTGCCCTCCCCGCTGGCCTGTCTTCCCTTTTGCTGACGGCAATCTGCAGGCCTTCCTGCGAACGCAAACCCTGTCAAGAACACTGGCAAAATTCCACCATGCGTGCAGGAACAGTGCAGGAGCTGGACGGCGCCAACATGGGTAGATGGGAAGAAGAGTCAAAGTCAAATGCGACTGTGGACATATGTGACGAGCCGACCCCAACAGCAGACCCCGATTTCGCACAACATGCAGGCAAACAAACATTCATACGTGCAGACGTGCATACACAAGGAACACCCATCCCCTCTCGACTGGCGAATGCTAGAGGTCCGTGGCTCTGTTGACGTAGTGTCTTGTCGGGAAACCAGCATATCACATCATGATTTCGCTCCCATGGATATGTGCACGACTCCCACATGCTTACTCCCGCACAATATCTTTCTTGCCTTTCCCATATTTTCTGCCCCTTTTGTCGCTTTCGTCCCTTTTGTACTTTTTGTTGTGTTGCCCCTTCGTCTTTTTGTCTTATTCTCTCTTGTCTTTTGATCTTTTGCCTGTTGTTCGTTTTGCGGTTTGCCCTGTCCTTTGGGTTATCCATTGCGCCTTCCGGGGACTGGTCTTGCCTTTTGTCGTTTACCTCTGTCGCACTTTCTCCCATCATCGCCCTCCAAATTCTGTTCTCACCCCCCCCCCCCCCCCCCTTCCTCCTGCCACCCCCTCCTCCCATGCCATGGGCAAACCCAGGCGTGTACCTCGTATCCACGCTAGTATTTGGCAACCCACCACCACCCCTTCGCGGGCTCGCTCTTCTGTGTCTTCTAGCCTGTGGCCCCTGCTGGGCCCAGGCTAAACTGGCCTAAGCGGCCGGCCGCCCTACTGCCCAGTATTGTTGTCATTCCCAACTACTCCGTAGCGAGCCTAGCTCCTTGCCTGTCGCCGACTCTCTGTCGCCCTCTCCCCATAATATTTTAGCTTCGCTGTAGTTTGCATCTTACCACTGGTGTTTGTTTTTCTGGAAGGTCTCTACTTCCCGCTGACTGTGTTGTGTGGTTTGCGCCTTCCCACCTGAACGGGTCCTGCCCAAAACTAGAGGTTTGTCCACGTTCCCTCCTGCCCCGAAACCACACTCGCGCTTGCTGCTTTTGTAGCAGCTGAACACCTCGACCACTCACCACACAATAAACACTCCTGCCCATATTGAGACAAGGTACACACACACACATCGTTGCAGCTGCCCGCCTCCGACACAACATCAGCTTATTTTGCCTTACTTGCCTTTATTCTGCCATTCTCTCTCTCGTCCTCCTTTCCTCTTCCCACCACCTCTTCTTGACCTTTTTTTATTTCTTCTGCTCCCCTCCTGTCCCCGAGCCACTCTTGCACGTCTGATCTTGTTTGTCCCGGGCCAAGATCGATCTTGTTTTGCTTGTGTCGTGTCCCCTCTTCCGTTCTATTTTCATTCTTGCCAACGGGTGCCAACTTGGACATTTCTGCATTCTACTTTACGTTTGACTTGCTTCTCGTCGTTCCTTTGCGCCTTTTGCTCCGGCTCACTCCTTGTGCCGTTTCTCTATACGGTATATATCCGACTCGTCTTCTCTTCGTGTCTGAATCGCCTTGCCATAGCGCGATCCATTGGCGCCTGGCCTTTTTCTTTCTTTCTTCTTTGTTTTCTTTTCTGTTTTTTTGATCTTCTTTCTTTCCTCGTTTATTTCTTGTTTTTGCTCGCCATTCCACTTCTTTGCAGCTGTACCTCTCCGCGGACCAGTTTTGCCTCTGCATCCTGGCTTCTGTTCGCCGACGTGCTACGTTCCATCTTGCCTCTTTGCTCTGTTCCTAGAGGAAAGCAAAAGCTCCCAATTTCAGCTTCTTCGCCCTCTTCACATCTTGTCTTTTCAGCCAAGACCGCACAGATCTATGATCAGTCCGCCTGGCGGCACGAGTTATGATTCGACGTGCTACGTAGCGGCGATTCCCGGATTTCCCATTCTTGCGCCCGTCCAGACCGTCAAATCGTCAAATCGTCAAACCGTCCACCCCTTTGACCCGTCGACTTGTCAAATCGCCAATTCGTCAAGTCGTCAAGCCAGCCCACACGCACCGGTCCTCCTCGAACGCTTCAGCCACGTCCAATCTCTGCATTCCAGGAGGACAGAAACTCGCCTCCCCCTTTCATCCGTTTTATTTTTTACTTCCTTTTTACCACACACAGACTCCATCCTGTGTCCCTGATCCAGTCCCTCGGATGCAGTCGACTGCTGAATTACGAAATAGCTCTTCCACTTTCTTCTCCTTCGTATAACTTCCTTTGCCTCCCCTCCCTCCTTCTCTCCTTCTCGTGTCCTCGTCCTCATCTACCTCGTCCACCCTGACACTCTCCACCCCTTTCTCCTCTCTCCCCAAGCCCCCCCGCCCCCCTGCCTAGCTGTCGCTTCCCTCTTGTCCTTGCCGGTGGCAACAACAGCAACAAGGCGAACGGCAACTCGCTTGGTGTCCACTTCCGTCCTCTTAAGGCTGGTCTGGTGCCAATTCTCGAAGGCGACTACGATTTCGCCGAAGTGCAAACGAAGAAGCCCACATCTCCCATAGCCACAGCAACACAAACAAAGAGAGGCCTTTCGCCAACAATGGAGATTCCTCGACCCGCCCCACGCCCCCCAGGCGGCCATGGCCTGCCCTCTATATACATAGACGACGACATGCCCTCCAGCTCCTATCATGGTTCCCATCGGTCTCCCTATGCCTCGCCCTTCTCGCACGCCATCTCCTCCACCCCCATGTCGATCCCCAACACCTCAGAAGACGACCGGCCGCCGCCGCCGTTACCACCTCCGCGCGTGGTTCCCGTCTACGGTCCAATGTCGGCCGCCGCAGAGGAGTACCGCCGCCGTGAGCTCGAGCCCGTCGAGGAACTGCCCAACTACAAGACCCGGCAAGACAGAGACGAAGGATACCACTCCATGGAGTCCCGCAGCCGGGACTCGTTTACGTCTGCCAAGTTCGGCATGCACCACGACCACTACCAGTTCAAGTCGAGCGCCGACGCCTACGACAACTCGCTGCTGAAGAAGCTCGATATGCGCCGCACACTCGACAACCGGTCACCGCCCCGCCTCGGCCGCCTCAGCGCATCTGCCCGCGACGCATTGCGCCCGGCTGATCGCTTCCCGGCCCTTCAGCCCCTGTCGCTGCCCACGCGCATGAAGCAGCCGCACGGCCAGCCGCTCCTCGACTCCCCCAACCGGTATACCGACACCCCGATGGTCTCGGCTGTGTCCCCGCGCAGCACGCCCTTCAGCCACCAGTACAGCAGCAGCGACTACCGGTCACCGAGAAGCGACATGCCCGATTACGACCGGTCACCTGTCGGTGCTCGCAGCCGTCGAACGAACAGCGGCTCGATCACCGACGACGCGAGCATGCACGACCCAATGGACGACGACACCAGCTTCACCATGGAAGAGACCCGGTTACGCGACTTCCACATCGACACGCCCATGTCTCGCGCAGCAGGCGACTACCATGCTGCAGGTCAGAAGCGCCGCGCATCATCACCGCCCGGCGGCGACGAACCGCCCATGCCACTGTACAACATGACGTCGAGCGAGCACCTGCGCTGGCGCGAGGGCGCCTCGCGCGGCTCGCCGGCTCCGCGACTCAGCGCCAACACCCAGGACTCCATCTCCTCCATCTCCTCGTCGACTCGTACCGGCTCCTACAGCTCCAACCTGTCTGGGGCCGCGACCAGCGTTACCAGCATGGCCGTGTCTCTGGCAAACGGACAGGGCCGTCGGTCACCGAACGGCGGCGTCTCACCCCCTGGCGGCATGTCTCCGACTGAGACGGCGAACGCGTCCAACTCGGCGAGCACGTGTACATCGCCGTTCGCGTCCACGGTTCCTCTGCAGGTGTCTCCGCGGTCGGCCGCATCCGCGTCGCGTCCGCAGCAGGAGCGGATTCGGGAGACTGCGCATATTGTGTCGTCGCCCACGCGCCGACTGCCGGACATGACGAAGTCGACCAGCCTTCTGAAGCGTTCCGAGTTCTTTATGTGTGATTGCTGTCCCAAAAAGCCTAAGAAATTTGACTCTGAGGACCAGCTTCGGTACGTTTTTAACTTGGTTGCTTGATTTGACTAGAATGTTATTTGCCACATGGGGTCCGTGCTAACAGTTGTCTTCAGCGCACACGAAATGGAGAAGCAATACGAGTGCAACTACTGCGGCAACCGTTTCAAGAACAAGAACGAGGCCGAGCGGCACCAAAACTCGCTGCACGTCCGGCGGCACAGCTGGTCGTGCGCGGCCCTGTCGAGCTATGACCGGGCGTTTCACGAGAGCACATTCCGGCCCGGCGAGGCCGATACATGCGGCTACTGCGGCGAGGAGTTTATGCGCAGCGGGTTTGCCACCGGGCGGACCGACGCACGGCACACGACGGAGCAGGACTGGGACGACCGGATACGGCATCTACAGGACGTGCACAAGTTCCGCGAGTGCAATGCCAGCAAGAAGTTCTTCCGCGCGGACCATTTCCGCCAGCACCTCAAGCACAGCCACGCAGGCACAAGCGGCAAGTGGACAAACATGCTCGAGAATGCATGCATGATGGAAGAAGAGCCACCCCTGCCGATTCGGTAAACAGGGGCTGGGCGTCTTTATTTCATTGTTTTTTATGACGACGCATTGTTTCATTTCTTACGACAAACGGATATGGATATACCAGACGAAAACAAGGAAAAGACTGAACGGGTTGTATGTGGCTTGGATTGCCATTTTTCACGTTGATTTATTTTACCTTACTTTTTATTTTATTTTTTGCATTTTATTTCATCAATGTACCTACCAGGCTGGGAGGTTTCATTCGGCTTCAAAGGGTTCTTTCTCCGGGTCTCCATTGTGTTTTTGCTTGCTCCTTTCTTCTCTCTTCCTCTTTCTCCCGACCCCCCTTTGTCTTGTATACCTCACAATGCACCCGTCGTTGTTTCTCTTTTACTTTCTACGTTTTGCGGTTTTGAAAGGGCGGGATCGAAGAAAAGAATGAATGAATACATATGAAAATATACAAGGGACACACCACCTGGGCGGGAAACATAGCTGTTTACATAATTGCGGACATGAGGGCTTGACTTTAGGTGGCTGTTTGACGAACCCAGCAGCCCAATGACAAAAATCCAATCACAATCTACAACTTTCAACTTGCCATTCATCACTTGCTGTTCGTGCTTGTCCCTTTACTTACTTTAATTTGTCCTCACTTGGGCTGGCATTCGGGATCCAGCCTGGAAACAGCCTAGCTTTTGGACGGAGATGTCAGCCTTTAGGCCCCGCCCACCGTATCTCGCATTGGTAGGAGACATTTACAACGACTATGCCAGATTCGTGACTGACAGGGAGGTGTAGAGGGGAAGTAGGAGTTAGTACGAGGGAACGATGGAACGATGGAACGATGGAGCGATGGAACGAGGGAACGGGATGAAGGAGCGGACGATCGTCTCTCGATGGAGAATGGCCAATGTTGCAAGACCTGCGGCAGGCAAGGGTATGACCAGACGGACAGGGTGAGATTCCGTCGGGGAAGGATGACGGCGAGACAGGGCCGTTTATCTGACCTGTTTTTTGGTGTGCCATGTCATTGTTTACTCTCTCGTCTTACGGCTAAAAAAAAAAAAAAGAAAGAGAAGAAGAAAAGTAAACAGGGTATTGGGGGGAGAACGTGAGAAGAATGAGACTAAAATGTGCGTCGATAGACTGGACGATGTACTACCGAGTACCGCGTAATAACGCATCGTGAAGAAAGGAAAACATTGCAAAGTCGAGGTGAGAGAGTGCGGCGCGCCATTGAGAGCAAGGCAGCCCAAGGCGCCGGTTCGCAGGGCACCAGGGCACCGAAGCTACTGGCAGAAATTTGTCATTTTTTCGTACATATTTTGTATTGAATAAAAAAAGAGAAAATTTTTAGTGCAGCCTTTCCACGCGCTAGGTGTGTGGTTGGTGGAGGTGGAGTGCACTTGCCTGCCGAGCCTGTTTTGCATGCCCGCCTTGCCAAGAGGCAACGACCTCACATGCTAAGGCTCAGAACGACAAACCGCACAAGACCGCCTGAGGCCAGCGTCACTACGCAAACGACGACGACGACGACGACGACGACGACGACCACCACCACCACCACCACCACCCCACCAGGACACGGCCGAAATGCCCCTCGACAGGATACCAGGGGACGACAACCTCTACATTGGCAGCGCCTTTGTCGTCGGCCAGGAGAAACTGCTCGACAGCCACAAAATCTCGCACATCCTGTCGGTGCTGCAGTACACGCCCAAGGAGAAGGCCGACATTGCCGCACGACCACAGACGCGGCCACGCACGCGCATTTTTGTAGACGTGGACGATGTCGAGGAGGAGGATCTGCTGGTGCACTTCCCACGCATCGTGCGCTTCATCGACTTTGGTCTCGCGTCGGGAAACCGGGACGGCGATCGGGACGGCGGGGCCAACGACGGCGGCCACGCGGCGGACGGTGCCCGGAATGGCGCCGTCTATGTGCACTGTGCCATGGGAAAGTCGCGGTCTGCGACGGCCGTGATAGCCTACCTGCTGTGGAAGCGCCCAGAACAGTTTCGGAGCGCAGAGGGCGATGGCCACGACGACGGCCACGACACCCCCAAAGCGACACAGCGCTACCCGCCGGCGGTCGCCGAAGACGCGTTGCGGCGAGCCCTGGCCTTTGTGCGCCAGGCCCGGCCGCTGGTCGAGCCCAACCCAGGCTTCATGCGCCAGCTCGTCTTGTGGTGGCACATGGGCTGCCCTGCAGACGCGCCGGACGCCGTCGAGCGGCGGCCCGCGTACCAGCGCTGGCTCTACGAGAAGGACGTGGAGGAGAGCACGCGCATTGGACGGGCGCCAGGCCGGCTCTGGTTTGGCGACGAGGCGGTGGCGACGGCACCCGACAATGTGGACGCGGGCGAGGACGCTGGGTCGCAGAATGATGATGTGCAAAACACGCCGTCGTCCCAGACCATCCAACTGCGCTGCAAGGTGTGCCGTCGCGTGCTGGCCGGCTCGCAGTTCATCGTCCCGCACGACCCACCGGCGCAGACGCAGTCCACCGCCGCCTGCAACCACCACTTTGTCGAGCCGCTGTCGTGGATGCGCCCCACCCTGGAAGAGGGCGCGCTCGAGGGCCGCCTCGTGTGCCCCAACACGCGGTGCAACGCGGTGGTCGGCCGCTACTCGTGGCAAGGGTTCAAGTGCACGTGCCGCGCGTGGGTGTGCCCGGCTTTTTCGCTGCAGCCGAGCCGCGTGGACCGGATTGTGGTGAATTCAAGTGCGAGTGCGGGTGTAAAAGGAACAGCTCCGAACCTACACAACATCCGATCGCCGCCGGGCACCAAAGGGCCGAGCAAAGTATAGCCCGAGCCGATAGACAAAGACATTGACAAAATGAGACGAATAACAGACGACAAACAATACGAATAATGATTGATGAGACACCTCGCTTGCAAAGCAAAGACGCAATCGTACGACGTTTTCCATACTCGGCTCAGGCCCAGTTCGTTTTCTGCTTTCCGCTTTTTCTACTCTGAAACAAAACACAGCCTCGACCAACCCCAAGACAGCGAAGAGCGTGCTTGGCAGCCTCGCATACACGTGCTCTTTTTCTTATTTGCTTTTCTTTGCCTGTTGCGGCTTGTCTGGACTGCGGTGAACACAATGCCGCCACCTTGACAGACATGGGCAGACATGGAATTTGTTCCGCGGCCCAAAGTCGTGTCAACATCCGCGAAGCCCCCGCTCTTCCTTCTTCGACAACGTACTCCCGTATTCTATACAACGGGATTAAACGAGTTTCTGACAGGTCGCAGCGGATTGGCTCTGGGAAAATTGTCAGCTCGCCGACCTCCATGATGAGATCCAACACCCAATGCAACATACGCCGTGCTCCGTCCATAGGGCGGCACACTACGAAAGTTTCTTCTGCTTTTGTGCAAAAGAGGTTGCAGTTGCTTATTTGCCCGCGGCAGAGGGGCGGAAGGACAGAAACCGCCTTGGGACTGTTTGGGACTGATTTTGGATCTTAGGGCTGACAGCCTTATGCGATGCGGGTTGTTGACGGTGCTTGGCATCAATAGTGCTCCCCGAAACAGGCAATGGTCAGCAGTCCACAGGTGACAGGAACTCCAAAAACAAAATACTGGACGTGGTGGTGAAAATACAACGTCTCCGAAGCAATATCACGTCGTGGCAGCAATACAACCGAAGTGTCCGGAAAGCTGAGCCGTTGCGAAATTCGCTTTTTTTTTTTTTCCACAACTTCAATAGATGGATCAACTCAGACGCAGGGCGCACCAGGGCTGACCAGGGCTGTTGGTCGGCGTACGAATACTTAGTGCGTCCTTCAAGGCAGGTTTGCGACAATGCAGGGCATACTGCGCAACTTTTTTGATTTTCAGTATCCTTGGAAGACGGACTGTACGAAGTATGACAATACTGTACCGTCTTCAATCTCTCGTCTCCGGTTAGTATTTGAACACAAAATCCTAAAGGATCTCGCTAATACAGCTCCTGCAGCGGTCGTCTCCACTGCAGGATGCCGACGATGCGTGCAGATCAAAGAAAATGCAAATAAAGAATTCAAATCATAGACAGAGATCGCTTGAACGGCGCAAACGAGCCGCCCCCCCTGTCATTTATTCCTTGTCTACTGTCCATTGCCTCTTTGCCAAAGGCACGATGGTCTGGCAAATGCAGCAATGTAATTCGTAGTAAAGAAGAAATGGAGAATTGGTCAAAGGAAATAGAAAAAGAGAAAAACAAGTGAACATGGCAGAGATGGCGACATGTCAGTAAGAGGGGCCGGCGACGGGGAAGTCCCTCCAATGGCGCTGCACTGCATCCCCGGCAGAATCCATACGACGATGCCGTCCATGGCGCCGTTCATCAAGCGGGCACAATGCACCTGCTAGGACCGAACGAGAAGGAGAGTTGAGGCCGACAAAGGCCACAGAGACCTCAAAAATCGACATCCCATCATGCAGCTGCAAGTCGGCGCAAGGAAGGGGGGGGACAGACAGCTTATATGATGTATGGGCCGTATGAGTACAACATACGTCGTACGGTCACAGGAGGACTCTGTAAATACTTGAAGAAGCACGGGGGGCGTGTCGTTTTCCAGGGTCTAGCGATGTCATCATCCTTTCCTTTCTTCCAAATTGTCTGCATCCACATCCCATCCTTCGTCCACAACGGCTGGCCCGCTCCCGAATACATGCATAAGAGCTCGTTTACTCTCTGTGCATTCCCCGAGCGCCAGCAACCAATGTCTGTCGACTGTTGTAGTCTACAATTCAGCGGATCAGTGGTTGGTAGCCGTGGGGAGAGCAACGGCGACGGGCGTCAGGTGTCAGCCGCCGTCAGCACTAACACGTTTTTGGAGGGGCGTAGAGGAAGGGCACAGGGAGACAGAGACGCACAACAGCTGAGGGGTGGCATACATACGACGTATTCTTCGTACGGCGTATTCCTCTGTTCAGTTGGAAGGATTTCCAACGGCGCTGTCCGCTGAGGAAAGTCGGGTGGTCGTATCCTTTTTTTGGCGTTTGGCGCGGCATACAAAAGGTGTGGGAGACATTGACGAGAGACCACGAATGAAAACGGGAAAAAAAAGACGATGGCGTCTCCGAATCTCGGCTCCAACGGTTGCCAGTGGCCCTTGCGGGCTTGGTGTCTCTCAGATGAGCGAGAGAGAGGGAGAGGGAGAGGGAGAAAGACGATAAGATGGAGGGGCGTGTGCTTCGTCGTGGTTGTAGTGGTGTAATAAATAATCAGAGAGGAAAGGGATTAAAGAAAATAAACTTAAACAGTAGCATCTGTTTACTCAGTTTCCATGTCTTGTGACACAATTATGCAGCCACCTGAACGAGGGCCGAGACTCTTGACAGGCATGTCCGCGGGCAAGATGACAAACCATAACCAGCTGTGAGTGTGTGTGGGTGCATGTGCAGACCGAGTATCGGCAAGGCAATACGAGATGCCAATAGTGCGTTGTTTGGAGACAGAATTTAATATAGCTGAATTGCTTTGGACGAGGCGGACTGATGAACTGGCGTGACAGGTGGGCTATGTGCCGATAACTGTACGATGATGCACGTGAGATATTGCAATAACAAAACAAAGAAGAGAAATCAAGAATAAGAAAATAGAGCCCAAGAGAAGTAAAAAGAGAAAGGAGAAAATTAAATAAACCCGGATAACCATAAAATGAAGATGTAAAAGAGGACATCAACATAAACAACAGTAATATATAATCATTGAAATTTAAAGAACAAACCCCCTGGCTGCCGTAAACCCGCTGAGCAATGATTGAAATGACAATAAAAACAAGGACTCAAGTGAGAGAAACAGCGTGCGTGAGTGATGTATGGTAAAGAAAGGAAAGGAACAGCACGAGAGGACAAGGAGAACACCACCACAGACGCTGCTCTGCTGCCACCAGGTGGATATGCCAACACATTCACATTTGTTGCATGTTGAGCTTCGGTGCGTCAACCATGGCATGAAGACGTATGGGTGTGTTGGCGGCGAAACGGCGTGTACAGTTTGCAGTGTGCAGTGTGCAGCGTGCGGCTTGTGGCGTGCGGCGTGATGAACAATCTGGATGTGCGGCATATGTGCAGAGTAAAGACCGGCTGCACAATGACGGCCGCCATGCAACTGCATCGGTCCAATGTGATGGCATCCAAGGGCACACACCACTTCTCGTTGCTTGTCGTCGTCGCTGTCGGTGCAGTAGCTGTGTCTGGCTGCTGCCGAGACGGCATCGACGCGGCCTCGGGACGGCCGGCCTCTGATTAGAAGCCGCGAGACGCCCGTCGTCTGTCGTCTATTGCCCATCCACGTCGTTCGTCCTTGCCCTCGTTATGGTAGGCCCTTCGGAACCGACGGGAAAAAGGACGGATTCGCCAGCCGTTCCCGGTTGCGCCTGGCAATTTCGGCCTGCCGTTTCCTCTCGAACCGTTGTTGATAGATGTGTCTAATCGGTCAGTCTCTTACCTCTTACTCACACACTCTCTCTATATATATACTTTAAAAAAAAAAAATCTCAGACCACCATCCGACTCACCTGTTTAGGGCAAACACGCGTGGCTGGTCGCTGGCGGGTGACTCTTCTTTCTTTTGGTTTCGTCGTGTCAGCCGTGTGTCGCACAAGCTTCATACAAGGCCTCGATATCATGCCGACTTACCTCGTCCTTGTCCTTGTCGTCTTTGCTGTCCTTGTCTTTGTCGTCTGCTTTGTCTTTCTCGTCCTTTTCTTTCTCCTTGCCGTCCTTCTTGTCTTCCTTGTCTTCCTTGTCTTTCTCGTCCTTCTTCCCTTTCTTGTCCTTCTTCTTCTTCTGCTTCTCCTCATACTCCTTCTTGACACGCTCCATCTCCGCCTTGATCTCGGCCTCCTTCTCTTCTGCCGCCTTTTTCTTCTTGGCCTCCTCTGCTGCCTTGTCCACAATCGGCGTGCAGAACCCCCGGTCCTTCAAGTGGCTTGGGCAAATGTAAAAGAAGTCCTGTGTCTGGTTAGTTCTGTATACAATGCAGTGGGCAAACAGAACACTCTGGCCTGCCGAATCGACCGACCTTATTCTCTGGCGTAATCAAGACGCTCGTACTCGGCTTGTAGCAAATTTCGCAGCCCTTGGCCGACCCCTCCGCCACCTTGCGGTGCGTGTAGACGTTGGGAAAGCTCATTGCAAAAAGTGACGGGGTCTGTTGTTGCACTGGCGCGTGGGTGTCCACGTCGGACACAGATCTCGGTCGCTGTTTGGAATCGCGATGCTATGAGAAGACGTTCCCAGCCTTGGGCGCGGGGTTCGGAAGGCGCGCTACTGTGTGCAGAAATGTACACTGTATATAATCGCACGGTACGCAGCCTTGCGACAACTCACGACCTCATTGGTGATTATCTATTCTGATTGCAACACACTTGATATGTTGAAAGCCTGGCAAGACTCTTACGCAAACTTTTAATAAAATTATACTATAGCTGACACATCAATAAATCAATGCAGTAAGAGTGACGGCATCCGTCGTTCGCGATAACTTTGTGCTATACAATTCGGAATGATCAAATTCAATATTAAGATGCTGCAGGAGGGCTATCACGCTTGAATATCGGTCATCTGTGTTTCTCGTGTTCCTAGTATTGTATTTATTCTAGACTAAGAGGGTTTGTGGACGAGAACTACTATGGCCACACGCAACTCTCTGGGTGAGCCATTTCCAAAAGTGACCCATACAGAGCGTTCTTAGGGAGGCCATCTTCCATCCAGCGAACACGTTCTGCTTGACAATAGTGCAAGCAAAGTATTCAACGACAAAAAGACCAGAAATCAAAAACAGGGCCGGTAATAAAAAACGTACAGCAGCGGGTATTCGCTGGTCGTCACCGACCCAACTACTAATCCGCCGATTAGAGGCTTGACTAGGGGAGAGCGGACGGGATCCCGTATTTTCCTGTATCTATGGCCGTACGTGAAAGACGAAGCCAAGGTATGACATTAAATACGGAGTATTGCTTGCAAATCGGATCCCAGAGTCCAGGTGGGACGTTGAATCCGAAATCGAACACCCAGCTGTGCTGAAGGATATCACGATCATGGCCTTGATTCAGCTACCCGCTCGGTATCGCTGTAATTGTTATACCACTGCTTGACGAATAAGGTGAAAAAATCGACGCATATGTAAAAAGCGACTCGGTGCCCTGGATAATTGTATGTCTGCTTACTGTGCCGGTTTGTGTCCCTGTCCTTGTCTGCGACGGACGTTATGTCGGGAGAGCCTGCATAAGGAATGACGTTTACGGAGGATTTATTGTAGAGTAATTTGTAATATGCAGCCAATAGAAATTACTCGGTAGCAAAAAAGAATGTAGCGTATCCCGGAGCTGCGCCAGAAGCCGAGTAAATGCCTTTATGTGTAAATAAATACCTGTGTATCCAGTCAATCTTTTTCCAAGTGGCTGCGGAACAGTGCAAAGTAGCGCACTGGAGCTGCGATGGGCGAACGTGTTGGTCTAATAACACGTCTTCGCTTCTTGTCCTTTACCGTTTGCATCGACGTAGCCGCCATTCTTGTGTCCACCCACGATGGTCTGGACCATACAGCAATTTGTTGCACGGAAGCTTATTTATACAATCGATCCTCCATCGAGAACGGCCCAGATAGCCAGCACGGAAACCATGGACACGGTAACGGTATGCGGCAAGAAGAAGAATGGGACAATAGGGTTTCCTTATCGAGTCCTCGAGACTATGGTCTGGGAAGCGGTGTAACACCATTGTTTGCGCTACCTTGTTCAACGCGTGATTTCATGTCCTTGACTAAGGATAGCCCACAGTACCTTAGAGAGCATGTTCTAGGACAACAACGTATTTCAACATATGAACACTGTTTGACTCAGTCGCCCGAGGCAGCGTTGCGTGTTCGATGTGGAGTTATCCGAGTCTTCCAAGACTGTCCCGTTCACAACATTGACAGTCCGACCACTGTCCTCTATGTACTACACGAGATCACAGCGACACTTGATACGGAAACAGAGGCGGCCGTCCACGGTATTGTGAGAACGAGTTTCCAAGACTAAGGGGCAGGATGGTGCAAGCTACAAGGAACGCACTGCCCGGCGCCGCTCGGCAAACCACTCCGGCCAGAATGCCGTCGTGTAAGGATTGATGACGTTCTGGAAAGAGTAGACCCGGAAACCTTAAACGGTACTCTGCACTCTGCACTCTGCATTCTGTACTTTGTACTCCGTCCAGCTTAGCAGTCATTCAGCAGTGTGGCAAAACGTACTGTGTTTTGCCCGTCGTCCCCACAACTATCTCAGACCGAGCTTGTGTCCATGGCCATAGATTTTAAGCCTGGTTTCCAAAGTGTCGGGAGTCAAAGGACAAGGAAAGAGTATGAGAATATGAGAATAGAAGAATAGAAAAATAAAAGGTCGCATAAAGAGGAACCGGAAAAGACCAGAAGCTTGGCCCGGCCTTGTTATGAGAATACACGCAGATAAGGCAAATTAAAGATGAGATTGACACGGCTTTGCATGCCACAAAGGCACAGAAAACCGGGATCCAGGACCCGACTCTCATGAGATTGGCATTGAAAGAGACAGGGGTCAGAGATGGACTCTGTGATTAGTTGGCCCAAGTAGGTTTAGACGTATTTTGGATTTGCTCGTGTGGAGAACAAGGGGGCAGGAGCTTTGCACCTCTCAATGCGGTTCTTTCCTGGTCTTAGCCCAATAAAGCCATGCGCTGAGGCTGAGGCGATTTTTTTATTTTTAGCTTCATTTTACGGCGTACTTGACTATTTCTTTATTTTGTCGGTTGTTGCTTTCCCTGTTGACTTTGTGTGCTGTATTTTACGCAGGGCAGGGAAAGTTTCTGGGGAAGGAGCTACCCAGACCCCGTGGAAGGAGCTTCCAGACGACCCTGTATTCCCCTTGGCTCAACAAGGCTCGACTGACAAAACAGTCAACAACAGTGACAGCCTCTCACTTTGTGGCTTGTCCTCGAAGCACCCCTGACTTTTGACTCTCGCTTCCCTCTTCAATCGCCACTGTACTTCTGTACCCAGTCTCTGCTCATTGCCATGCAATGCCTTTGTTCCTGACATCTCGCAGCGTTATAGGTTTGGCGCCCCGTTTCTTGTCGCCATTCCCCTATATCAAGGCATAAATTGGCACATGCATGTCCAACATCTGGATGAATACGAAGCACACGACATGCACGCAGACCGCATGCACAGAGAAAACACGAGCGAACGAAGGTGGGTAGTTTTTCGTGATCTACCGTTATTTGCGCGTGCACAAAGTGGATCGGAACTGCAAATCACATCGTATCGGCAATTCGTATCTCGACATCGCACTGGGCCCCATTTCACCCCAACATTTTACACCAGCCCTGATGACGGCTTAGACTGCCACGGCCGGATCGTCAGAGACCGCAGCCAGAAAGAGAAAGGAGCAGCACTCTGCGACATCGTATCTGCACATCGTCACTGAATGGACTGCTGGGACTGAATGGACGGGTAGACAAGACTCGCATACGAGCTACAACCAAAGATCCCCACTCGACTTTTCAGTAGATCGACTTTTTGATCCCCTTTCTACCAGTTCTGGTGCCTTTCGAGCCCAGAGTTACGAGAAAAACAAGCCGATAGCTCCGCCATAGCTCCGTCATAGCTTCTCTTTTGCCCCATCCTCGTGACGAGCTCTTGTCATTACGAGACCACCCGGAAGAGAAACCAGAAAAAGGACCAAGAAGTAAACGCGAGACGTCTACTCTAGGGGCCAAGCAAGCCAAGGAATATGACAGCTCCGGCGACCGGCACGTTAGCAAGATACGAGATATACAACTTGTAGCAGCACAGCACTTTCCTGTGCACGGAGTACTGTTGTCCGTGCTCTGGCACCACAACAGCCGTAGACACGATGCGGAGACGATAAGAGTCGATAGTGGTTCGAGCTTGGGCCCTTTTGCCAGGGGCTCTCGTGCTTCTCGCCGCCTCTTGGCGAATGGGACGCTCCTCCTCCCTTGTCTGTCATTTCCACACAGAACGTGCACCACTGTCGCGTTTTGTCTGTTTCTGTTTCCGAATAATTTCTTTCCTTTCCACTTCTTGTTTCTTTACCTTTCCTCTTCCTCTTCCCGCTCTCTTTTCTGAACTGCTGTTCACGTCGTCACTCGCTATTTGATCGATCCTGTTCAATTGTTTTGTTTATTTTTTTTAACGTCATTACACCACAGTCGCTTCCGCTTTCTTCTTCTCGACTCTCGCTACTTTGTCCTCGGGTCGCCATTTTTGTTACTCGCCATTTAATATCAATTTAATATCATAATTCAACCAGCCGGCTTATCTCGACCTCGACCGTCCGCAAAGAAATCAAAACACCGCAAACGAAGCCGCTTACTCTAACCCATCTCTTAATAAAACACGCGCCGTCAGTTTTGCCGCCCACGTTTTCCTCGTCTTTTCTCACGACATCCATCTCCGGACCCGAAATCAACAAACAAAAAACATCACCACAGCCACAACCAACAACCTCACTGTAAGTTGACGATAGGCGCATATGGACTCAATTTGTGTGTGCCTTTTTTGATTTTCTATATTATGTCGCACTCGACTGTTGTGTTTGTCAGTGGGCCCCTCGCCTCCCCCCCGGTTGTCCACTCTCTCAGGAATGTGTCGTCTCACTGTCCGGAGCACCACCAAGATTGTCGGCCAGTTTGTCTGTCTAGTCTGAGCATTCTCACCTATTCGCCTCTCTGTTATACTTCCTTTTTTGGCTGGTATCTGGCATTCCGCGCCCTAGACCAGTTCCAGAGGCCGAATTGTCCGGCACACGACGGTGCATTGTGTGCGGGAAGGGAAACGTGGAAAGCTCATGTAGTCCTGACCACAACAAATCAACAAACAACAATCGGTCACACAAAGGGCTGGAACTGCAGGATGCATGTTGGCCAGGCAAGATGACTGAGGAACGGCCAAGCGCACATGCGTTGCATTTGCACAGCAGGAGAAGATACGACGTATTACTATGCAAAGAGATTGGCAGATGACGAAAGATATTTTGCCCGGGGGCCTCGTCATCGGAAAGTGAATAAGCGTTTTCTTTCTCAAGCCCGAGCTCATTCTCTTGTTATCTTCTTTCCCATCTTCTCCAGCATTCTTTTCCTGCCACGATCGTTGCATACTTTTTGTTTTCGTTGTTGCTACTCGTTTGCAGTGTTCTTCCCTCTTCGTCTTTCGTTTTATCCCTGCGCTCGACCAACGCTGACTTTTCAAAAGACTACAATGCCTTCTCTCAAGCTCGCTGTCCTGGCTGTTGCCACCGCCCTCGTCTCCACCGTCCGCGCCGACTACTACATCCAGCCCGACTCGGTCCCTCTGTCCTTGCGTCAGTACTGGTGCTCCTCTGAGATCAGCACATGTCCCATCATCTGCGCCCAGAACAAGCCCTACAGCACCAAGACCAACACCTGCGATCCTGTAAGTTATTTCCTTGCTTTCGTCGCTTTTGTCGTCGCTTCGCTCTTTTCACACTAACAAAATAGAAAACCCTCACCTACGGCTGTGTCTGCGGCGACGGCCTCCAGCCCAACATCTCCGAGTACTCCCTCACCCTCCCCTACTTCGTCTGCGAGGAGTGGGGCAACCAGTGCGTCACGGCCTGCGCTGGTGACAACTCCTGCTCCAGCGACTGCCGTCAGAATCACCCGTGCGGCGCCCTCGACCCCACGCGCGCCAACGCCAGTGCCTCCGCCTCTGCCACCGCCTCCAACACGGCCTCCGCATCCGACACCATCTACACCGGCCTCGGCAGCGGCAGCGGCAGCAGCTCCGGCTCGCCTAGCACCACCAAGACCAACTCGGCCGGCCGTTCCATTGAGGTCACACGAGCACTCATGGGCGCGGGTCTCACACTGGGCGGTCTTGCTGCCGGGTTTGCTCTGGCTCTGTAAGGACGGGGAACGAAGAGATTGAATGGTGGGAGGAGGTGCTTGTGTTCTTGTCCGTTCATCCGTTCCTTGCGTGGCGATGCGACTCCCTTATAAAGTATTTTCTCTTGCCTAAGCAAGACAGAGCATCAGATCAGCTCTTTAATCTAATTCAAAGGCTCCCTTCATTCCTTTTTTTTTGTTGTCTTTGGCTTGGGGCCTCATATCGGTTGCTCTCTGTATTAATTCAGCGTTTGCTCGAATCGCTCTGTTTTGTTTCGTCCCACGTCTTCCGATCCTTCATTGCCACTCACAGTCATATAGTCTATCACGACGCACTTTCTTTTCTCAACAAACCATATGTGAACTCAAAGAGATGCTTTCCTCCATTAAACAAAGAGGACGTGCAACAGGCCGGAGGGACACGAGCCGGGTTGGGACCAAACGTCGATATACGACTTACCTCGCTTTTCTCCCTCCCAACATGCCAATGGCAGTGCGTCCTTACAACGTCAACAAAATGCTGACGGTATGCAGTCCGGCAACCATCTGCGTGTTTCACTATCTCGGCTCAGAGCTCCTATTTGTATGCCAACGGGCATTGCTCCGTCTTCTGGTCCCACGAGAGTGTGCCAGCCAATTGCAGTTGTCCGGAGTGCCACCCCTCGTAATCCTTGGCGGTGACGCGGCCAACAGCGACATTGTCGACGGTGAGGCTGTTGGAAAGCAAGGTGCGGTGGACTTCCAAGCTGGCCGGTGTTACAGATCGATGGTATCTGCCAGACACGGACGTGGAAAAATGATGCATACTGAGTAAGAAAATCAAAGATCGGTCAGAATGAAAGACATTGCCAACTACAGTCCAATATCGACAACAAAAGGGCTGGAAGAGGGCTGAAACAAGACAGAAAAAGGAAAGAAAGTAGACGAAACGAAACGACCTGTTCCGTCGACACGGATCGGACAACGTCATAGGATTGGCTGTTGGGACAAGACTGGACGTGGTCCGGTTTGAGCTCTGCTGCCCAACTGGACGTCGACATGGCTTTCACGTGTCAGACCAGGCAACTTTTACGCTCCCAAAAATATCTTTGGGGCCACCTTCCCCCTGTGCCTGATGATTCGCACCACTGCAACCGCGAACGGTTCGCAGCTTCCTTGTTTCTAACTCTAGTCGGAACGACGGTAATTTGCCAGCCCGACAGTGCAGCTTTGCGCAGGATGGTGCACTGTAAAATTAAGGTTGCTGCCCACAATCTATTTGGACGGGGGACTCTTTTACCAGGAAATTTGGATGGCAATCGAAAAAGGAGACAGTGGCCAACGAACACGAGTCCTCAAAAGCACTCTGGTTCTTGGCGCACACCGGGTTTAGGGAGCTTTCTGCGTGGCCAAAAGCGGGGCAGGCACCTTGTTACGCAAGGCTAAAATGAAAGTTTTCTAGAAAGGCAAGAGCCTGTGAAAGAATAGAAAAAAAAATATGAGAGAAAAGGGGGCTCTTTCTTCGCGCTGTTGCTGTCCTTGCCTTTAAACCCCTTTGCAGTCCGTTCTCCGCCACGTCGTACTTTCCTTCTTTGTCTGTTGACGTCCAAGACCAACAGCATCCCGAACTGGACTGCACCTGCTCCCGACCTCTGCTTCCGACCTCTCCTTCCTCATAGCATCGATCGCGCCTGCACTTCGCCTTTACCTTTTGACCCCTTCCACATCTCGCCGGCGCCTCAACCAAGACCCGGCGCCCCACATCAACCCCAACGGCCGCTGCACTTTAATTCGCTCTCCGTGTACGGCAAGAGAAGCAGACTGCAGCACTGCTGCAAGTAAAACAGGAACTGCATCCCCTCTCCGACACGGCAGAGGTGGACCAGACACGCTGCACGCATCGCGCTACAGCACCTAGCCCGGTCTCCTCCAGCGTCCCGTCCTCCGCCGCTCGTTCCTGCCTCGCCAGCCGCGACAACCCTCCTCTTTCCTTCGTCTTAAATTTCCACTTTTTCGGCTTCTTGTCTCCTCGTCTGCTCTTGCCCTCGTGCCTCTTGCTTCTTTCCTTCTTCTGTCGTCTGTTTTCTCCTCTTTTCCTCTCTTCCGTTCTCCTCCTCTTTCCTCTTCTCTCTCTCCGTCTTGCATCTCGAAATCGCCATCCTTCCCACCTGCGACCTCAGCCTCACATTCTTTGCCCAACATGGCCCCCAATACGAGTATGTCCTGATTTTTACCCCAAACGATTATGGTTTTTATATGAATTTTTAAGAGGGCGTTCCCCTGTCCCTGGGTTTCACGTGCACACCGCAGAACATTGACAGCTAATTGCAGCGCAATTTCTTCCTTTTCCCGCCACCACTCGTTTAGGAAAACGCTCTGTTGTCGACAGCATCTCCGACGATGCGCTCATCCACCTGAAATCCTACAAATACTCGAGTGTCGACAAGTCGCCATTGTCACACTACGTCCTGAATCCTTATGTACGTCATCACGCGCCGAAATTTGGGGAGCTGAGGAGCTGAGGAGGGGGGACCTGAAAAGAATCAATGTCAGCTTCAACCCCAAATGAGCATGTGACGAGACGAACGCCTCAGCATTAGGAACTGTAGATTCGACTCGACTGCTCTGCTTCATATACTAACGCCTCTGCCGCACAGTGGAATGCCTCTGTCAAGTTCCTCCCTATGTGGCTGGCCCCCAACATGGTCACCTTGATCGGCTTCTTCTTCATACTCGCCAACGTCGCCTTGCTCGTCATCTTCATGCCAGACCTCGTCGGCCCCGGCCCCTCATGGCTCTATTTCAGCTTCGGCATTGGCTTGTTCATGTACCAGACCATGGACAACCTCGATGGCAAGCAGGCCCGCCGCACCGGCACGTCCAGCGGTCTCGGCGAGCTCTTCGACCACGGCATCGACTCTCTCAACTGCACCCTCGCCAGCCTGCTCGAGACCGCCGCCATGGGCCTCGGCACGTCCAAGTCCGGCGTCTTCACCGCTCTCTGCCCCTGCCTGCCCATGTTCTTCTCGACCTGGGAGACCTACCACTCCCACACACTCTACCTGGGCTACATCAACGGCCCCACCGAGGGCCTGCTCATCGCCGCGGGCATCATGATTCTGTCAGGCATCTACGGCCCGGGCATCTGGACCGACAGCCTGGTCAGCCTCTTGGGTGGCGAGGAGCGTGCCACCCACCTGCTCGGCGGCCACATTGTGAAGTACCTCGGCGACTACTCGTTCCGTGACGGCTGGGTCGCCACCATTACCATTTCGCTGCTAACGGGCCACATCCCCTTTTGCATCCTGCACGTCGTGCAGGCGCGCCGCGCCCGCGGTCTGCCTGTCGCCCCTGTCTTTATGGAATGGACCCCGATGATTGTCTACACGCTGTCCATTGGCGCCTGGATCTACTCCCCCCACTCCCACCTGCGCAGCGACAACCACCTGGTGCTCTTCTGCCTCACGATGGCCTTTGTCTTTGGCCGTATGACGACCAAGATGATTCTGGCCCATCTGACGCGCCAGCCCTTCCCCTACTGGACCGTCATGCTGACGCCGCTCGTCGGCGGCGCCCTTCTGGCCAACATCCCCGTGCTTGGCAGCGTGCTCGGCTTCGGCGACGACTGGGGCGCCATCAGTGCGTCAACGGAGCTGGCATACCTCTGGGCCTACTTCTTCTTCGCAGCCGCCGTCTACTTCCGCTGGGCGTATCTGGTGATCAACAGCATCTGCAACTTTTTGGGCATCAACGCCCTGACAATCCCCATCGAGAAGCAGCTGGAGAACAGGCAGCGCCTCGCGGCGGAGGCAGCGGCGGCGGCGGCGACACAGACACCCACGTCGCCCTATGTCAACGGTGCAGCCGGCAACGGCAAAAAGCTGCAAAAGGTCCATTAGTCGGCCAATTTCTCTCCCTGACTGACGACAGGCTTTCCTCACGCTCATTCCTGTTTCCGTGTTCTTCTTTCATCTTTATTTTAATATCCTTTTTTTGGTTCTCCTCAGGCCCTCTGGTAGACCCAGAGAGGTGTCAATTGCATGGTCGGCGGTCTCTTCTTTTCGTTTTGGTCTTAATGGGCAGCGTGGTTCAGCATCTTCATCTCTTTTCTTTTTCTTTTCTATTCCACCTTCTTTTGCTTCTTTTCCTTTGTTCACTTTCAATGTGACCTTCTTTGGCGTTCAACCGGCATTTCTCTTTTTCTACTAAAAAAAATCAATGGGCTTCGCTTCTTCCACCGCACTTTTCTCTCCTTGTTTTTATTTTATTTCGTCTTTTTTGTATTTGCTCTACTGTCCTGGTTACATTAATTAGCTGTTTTTTTATATCATAGTGTACATTCTTCTACGTCATCGGCACGTCAGAACGAGCCACAACGCAAGACACAGCACCAGACACCAGCACCTGGCTTGCTCAGGGTTGTTGAAATAGAAAGTTTCTTTTGCAGCGTAAAAAGAGGGAACATCATCTGTTGTACTCAACGTACAAGACTGCACCCTCTTTTTTTATCACATTTTCAGCCGTCACAATCTTCTCCCATGCTTGGTGGTTTACATAGTCAGCATAATGTAGATATCACGTCTTAGCGAGAGTATAAACCAAAATTAATTGTATGCGCAGTGGGAAGGACGCAGGAAACGACGAGTGCCGTTGGCTTTGTGATGTATTATATATACTTGAATTGATCATTGCTCGGGCTCATTAAAATTAAAAAGTAGTATCACAAAAGGGAATAAAACAGCGCTCCATACATACACATGAAGGAAATGGAGAAAAAAAAGAAGAAAAAAGAAAAAAAAGAATGTCCGTTTGAAAGTGACCTCATGAAAAGAGAAACTCTTTCAGCACTGGTGAGCCCGCAAACTCGGGGTTCAGCAAGATGCAGTTGAGGAAATACTGCAGCCCCAGCCGCCGCTTCTCCAAAAAGTCTGGTCGGAACTTGCCCAAAACACTCTTGGGCGGCAGTGGCGGCAAGGCACCACCGCCGCGGGCCTGCGGGAAACTTGCGAGGAGACGGCGGCGCAGCGTGTCAAACTCGGAGT